CAAGATCAACTCTTAGACGTTCAGGAAAGTTACAACAGCCTAAGCCAGCGTCATGCTAAGCTCATTGCCGAAATGGCTAAGGCCCGGGATAACGAAGCTGCCGAGAACCAGGATCTAGACGAGCAAGTCGGCGATACAGCAACAGAAAGGTTAAATCGGTCTAATTCGTTTGCCCAAGCTGTCGAACAGGTTGTGTTGGAATACGAGAAGACAATACAATCGCTCGAGCAGTTACTCACCAGCACACGGGCCACACTCTCAAGCACGGAAACAAGCCTTCTCGAGAAGGAAACGAAGTGCGCTTACGTTGAAACAATCAACACTCAGCTGCAAAAACGTTTACAAAAACTAATGGATCGCGAGGCTAGTACAGAGAGCTACCTTCACGACTTAGAAGCTAAGCTTGACGGCCACACATCTGGCGAAGAAAAGAATGCTACCATCGTCCTAGAATTACGCAAAGAGATCGCGCGAATCCGAGACAATGAAGCCTCTTGCGAGGAGTATATTTCAACCTTGGAGGAGAGACTTGCCGAGTCTGATCAAGATCAGGAGTTGATGCAGCGCGAGATTGACCGCCTTGAACAGGTTATTGAACGCCAACGAAGCCTTGGCAAACTCGACAACCTCCTACACGAACTGGACCATATCCAGCCAGATGGCAAAGAGTCTGACGCCCAATCCGAGCATAGGAACAGCAACGGACACCGCCGTACCATGTCAGAGCGATCGACCAAGAGCCATGTTAGTCGACAAAGTTCAGGCATGAGAGGAACTCTTCCCGAAGTCGCCGAAGGTACCGAGGAAGAAGCCAACGACCAAGATCACCCCGATACCCCCAGCGATCATGAAGCGGTCAGTATAACTATCGAAACGCCAGAGAGAGTGCCGACACCTACGGACTACCCACCTCAGAGTCCAGCACAAAATAAATATGTTGCCGACAAACTCGAGAATGTAACTGAAGAACTTGTCGCCCTACGAGTCGAGCACGAGTCAACCATCAACGAGTACGACATGCTACATGCGAAATACGAAGAGGCTTTGCGCACCCTAGCAGAATTACAGGACCAGGTCGATGAGGCAAGGCACCCAACCCGTCCACGCGATTCGATTCTCTCAATAACTCCTCCGATCGAGACTAGGCCTCAGAGTTTTTTATCCGAGATGAGGTTGAGCGACGCCAAAGATGGGATACACTTATCGCGATCGCTATCCTCGGAATTATCATCAGCTATGGATTCCCCTACTACTGTCGATATTCCGGAGAGCGAAGCGTCTAAGCCTTCTGAGTCTAGGGCCACTCTAGTAAGGGAAACAGCGAGCGCCGATAACAGTGAAGTTCTCACTGCCGAGTTAGGGAGACTCAAGGCATTAGCTGAGGAGAAGCAGGCAGCGGAGAGAGAACTCGCCGATAAGTACGCTCAACTGGAGGAAATGCACCAGGAGACGCTGGATATGGTCGAGGAGCTCAAAACCGAAGTGGCCAAGGCCAAATACGCAGAGCCACCTTCCCCAAGGACAGTTACACCGGTCATTCGCCGAAAGTCCAGTCAGAATGTGATGGTAATTGATCGTGCACATCGATCATTCGCAACGCTCAGAAATATGGCAGCTGAGCACTTCGAGGGACAGCCCGATATTATGCAGAACTTCGATCTTAACCTAAATTCAGCCATGCATGAGCTACACGTTAGATCAGAGCGCATCCAGGAGCTGGAGGCCGACGTCGCTACCGCGAGGAAAGAAATGGAGAGCAAGATGACGATTATTTCTGGTTTAACACGTGAGCGATCCAGCTTGAAGTCTCCTATAGATATTTCAATGGTTGCTGCATTAAGGGAGCAGCTAGAGAGGAACGAACGACAACTCCAAGACATGCAAGAGAGTCATGCTGCCCGTGAAAAACAACTTGTTGATGAGTTGGAAGCTCTGCGCATTTCGGTTAAGGAAGCTGCCGAGGTTGGATCAATGTCAACAACGCAGACACAGGGTGGGAGCGAGCATGAACGCGAGTTGCGTGTAGCCCACGAAGCTAAGATTGCTCATCTTGAAGCCGAGCTTCTTAGCTGGGAAAGTAAACACAATGCCGCGTTGGATGCTTTACAAACAACCGAACAGCAGATGAAGAAAACCATCGCCGACCTTGAAGCGGAGGTCGCAGCTGCGCATGCAAAGGTCGACGAGTCCCAGGGGCAAACAAAGAGCGACGAAGAATCCGAAGAAGCGGAAGCTAAGCACCAGGGCCTTGTTGTCACGTTGCGTAGTGAGATCGAGAAGTTTAAGACGATCGTTGATGGCAATGCTGCCAAGGTGGCTCAACTAGAGCAGGCACATGCTCTTGCGAAAGAGCAACTCGAAGAGGTTTCTAAAGCGCGGGACATTTCGTCTGCAGAATCGCGCGGCTATCAGGAACTTGTTAGTCGGCTCGAATTACAGATAGCAGAGCATGGGAAGGCCCTCCGGAACCACGAGGAAAGCCTAGCTCAGCTCCGCGACGACCATGCCAGGGAAATCGACGAGGTTCGGGCCAGCTCCAAGGAGGAATATGATGCACAAATCGATATGCTCATGTCAGAGCATGCTGAAAACATTAGGTTTTTGGAAAGCGATGTTACGGAAGCACGGGACGAGCTTATGAAGATTGCCACTCAAGTCGCTTTCGCCTTAGGTCTTGAAGTAAGCGTTGATAAGATCAGCGAGCGTATAGAGGACTTGATTGCGGATCAAAAGGCCTTGAATGCTGAGCAGCAGAGGTCCGCCGAACTCGAAGGTCATATCGATGAGTTATCAGCAATCAACAACACGATTATGCGTGACCTCGAGACTGTGAAATCTTCGCTAAATGGCATACTTCATCCTGACAGCGAAGATTTGAAGAGCCCCTACTCCTCCGTTACAGAGCAGCTTGCGGCCCTGAAGAAGCGAATGCATGATCTCGAGAACAAGAATAAGAAACACTCTCGTTTGGTGGAAGAGTTGGAGGACCAGTTGCAGACTAACTACGATCAAGCCCAACTTACCAATAACAGATTGTCTACGCTCCAAACTGAGCGCAACATGCAATTAGAAGAGGCCCATGCAGCCAGAATCAAAGCGCAGGTTGAGTTAGAAACTGTTCGGGAAGAAATGGTCGCCTTGCAGGTAAGGCTTATCCTACACCTACCCAACCCGTTATTACACCGGACTAACATGTATTTAGGCTCGTATCGAGGAGCTTGGCGCTTTCGATGGACCAAAGCGAACTGATTCTACGGGCTCGCAGGTCCGCAAGACAGCATCCGTCATCTCTTTGCCATCTCCACCACCTGCCATCCCTCTTCCCCCACTGCCACCCGGTGGTGCGACTTCGCCAACTCAAGGTATCCCGCCATCGTCAATCGGTGGGCGGCCAACTAGCCATGATGTTGCTCTGGCTCAGATCCGAGAGGACCAGGAGGCACGCATACAAAGCATCGAGAGACATCTGAAGGCTGAAAGGCAGCTTACTTCTACATTGGAAGAAGCTCTGACTGATCTCGAAAGCCAGTCTAAGAAGATGAAGGCCGACTGCGAGGCCTGGAGGAAACGTGCCCAAGACCTTGAGGCAGAAGTAAAGGAGCTTAAGGAGCGGCCTCAACGGGAGAACCGTGACAGCCTTTACCAGATTGAGGAGGAGCGCAAGAAGCGTCAAGACGCTGAGAGGGCTAGAACCCATCTAGAGGAGCGCATGAACGCAATCAACAACAAGAAAAAGAAGAAAGGTAGCCTCAACTGCTTTTAGTCGCGGGGTTGGCGTGATATGCCTCTGACCGTCTTTCTTGCCCCCAATCACGACGCTATTTGGCTTACCTGAGATTTTGCTCGGTATTGTTTTCCAGGCACATAGTGCACATCTGGCGAGGTGTTTGAGGAGTTCCGTATTTCCCTTCTTTACTTCGCGTCATGTCGTGCATCTTGTACTTTGTATTTGGAGACGTTCGTGATGTTTTACGGGCGAAAAAAAGCCACCATATACCCTTGCGGTCTTCCCTTGAAGTTTTAATTAGTCGACCCCCAATTTTTCCACGGCAGACAAACAACGAATGATCTGGATGGGATACGAAATGAACCGTTGCTAGGATGTGTTTATGGGATAGTTTTGATGAAGGACTGGACTGTCAGTTGTTAAATTTTCTGCATCCTAGTGGCTCCCTTTTTTTCTCTGTGCTGTGGTGTATAAAGGGGTTGGGCGAGAGCTTTATAGCTAAGCGTAGCAGGCTTTTTGACACCTGAAATACTACTTGAGAACTTCATTTTTCTTCAATCTAGCGTGCTTTTCAGATGTGTAGTCCAGGCTCTATGTATTGGCCTCCCTGTGCCAGTCGTTTATTATGTCATGTTAGTATAGTTGGTTTGTAGTTAGACGCAGTTGATGCGACGTCGTATCTAGGCCAAGTAGGTTCAAAAGTTAATAGTCAAGATCCATGAATAGATACGACCACCTATCTCTCTCATTGCTCATGATGCTTTGCTAATATAGGAGGTACCTATGTAGGTAAGAACTTCAGCTATTTTTAGCAGAATCCCAAACAGTACCCGATCAAGTAATTATTGACATTGAGCTTAGATTAGTCGAGCCATTATCCTCAAACACCATTGATGGTATTTCAAGGTGCAATGGTTCAGTACTATGTAAACAGAGTTCTAATTGTACGACCAAGTGGGTGGAAGACTACCATGTTGTCGCGAAGACCTACCAGCGTGGAAAGGTTAAGACTACTGGTATACATATGTGGAATTCCTTTATTCAGACGTCTCGGTGGTCCGCGGTAACGCCTCCTGACAAATATCCTAGTAGATATAAAGGAAGCAAACGAACTAATATCCTTGCACTATTAAGCTGCATCCCGGTGGTCGGTTTTCCCCTAAGGAATCTCTACGCTATTTGCATTTGAAACCCTATTCAGTTTAATTTGTCCACTGATACCAGATAGTATCCTTTCATCTAGATGCCTCATCAAGAACTATAAGCTCTGGGGATGGAATGCGTGATATCAAAAATTGCACAATAATATAATCACGCGATTACCAAAAGTCAAGTATTCGTGAAGGATGGAAAAGTTTCCACTTTCAATTACAAATATTTAAAAGGCCGACAATCCATCACAACTGCTTCGTCACACCTGCCATGACTGAGGCCCACACTAAGAAGCTATTGACGAGGCGAAGTATTTTGAAGAGAAATAACTTCTATCCGAGTGTTGCCTTTTCCCCAGAAGCCTTGCATGATGCCTTTCAAATCGTCTCTTAAACTCCAACGGGGGTCTGGCAAAGGACGCTCTGGCCAAGCTAGAAAGGCTCGTTAGTGTGTGTATAATTATAGTGAAGTCCAATAGTACTTACGACAGGTAGGATACAGCAGCGTGCTCGCTGTCCACTGAGAGCGCAGGTTGCCTCAAACTCAAGCGCGGTGAGAGGAACTGCGCTGGCTGTTATAGAAGGATTGTTAGTAAAGTTTTAAATCTCTGAGGTGAGAAAGATTCAAGAGATAGCCTTACGGGCACTGCAGTCGAGATCTGCTACACCGAGAACATCGGTAGCACAGCATTGAGCAGAGTCATAGAGACCGCTGCAAGGGTCGTAGAGAGCATCACTACCTGCGTATCCACGCTTGGTAGGATTGGCGAGGACGGCGGTAGCCAGGAAGGTGACGAAGAAGGTAGATAGCTGCATTTTGATTGTATTTTGGACTTTCAGGAACTTGAAGGCTCGGTGGATGTGTAAGAAGCAGAGATGATGGTTGACCTGTTTGGAAAGATGGATCTGGTTGCGGATGATAAAAAAAAAACCTAAGAAGAACTGGGAGAACCATCGCTTCTTATATTCGAAGACAGTCTTCCTTGTTGCCCGTGATCAGAGCATCTGATGGCCAAGGCTCTTCACCAAGGCCTCGTCAACTTCACGACACTAGGCAACGTAGCGGTGACATAGAGTAGACTTAGTACGGTGGACCAAATTAATGCATTTGAATCCAATAGAAAATAGTCATCAGACCATTAGCTTCATTCTTGGAAGTAGTCGACGACAGAAACAAGTGTATGCAAAGCAAATTAAGAGCTGAATGCACGCACAGTACAGGGGTGCCTCAAAGTCTGTATTACTCGATAGGGTAAATGATCGACTCTGAGAACTTGATGAACTTGATGAACTTGATTTGAAGAGTCTTTCCAAGTAAGCATAAGTGATTAACCGAGAGTCACCAATGGGAGACAACTACGACAATGGCCCGAATGTTGCAATCGAATGTTGCAATTTTCTGTACCAATGTTGGGCTTCCGGATGAAAGACCGGCCCTCGCAAACCTGTTTAGGGATATGCAACGTACGGAGCTATATAAGGACTAGTATACATTTGTATTTGTATTCTTTATTTTAATATTTTGTATAGTTTAACCTCAAAGGGTACCTACCATACATGCTATTCTAGCCATTTTCGTTGGCTCCTCCGGGTGAGCTTGTGTTTGTAATAGTAGTGTTCAGAGGTCGCCTATTAGGACGTTATAAGTTTGCTTTAGCTTTTCTGTGTTCCGCCTGCGAAGGTATAAGGCTTATCCTAACCGTAGACGTCGTCCTATTACGGTTCAGTTGTTAGGCATAGTTTCGAACAAATGCTGTAACTAATAGTATTTGTCTACCTATTACCTATAGCCATAAGAGAAAGTCCTCAGCGGTTAGACACTCACTATTCAAGCTCCTACCTTCTATACTGGCCTATTCAAATCCCAGGAGAAGTACAGGTGCACTGTCCATATCAAACCTCGTATACTCAACCTACTTACGTATACCTAACTAGAGATTATACATAGTACTAGGTATGTATGCGTGCCTGGCTAGACAGGGTTAATTCAGCCACTCCACCACTCCACCACTCCAGCATCCGGAATATGACCCCCGCAAATTCCTAGCCCTGTCTGCGTTAGGTACCTGGATCCATAATGACTGTATAATTACGATCTTCTCTAGGCATATTTGTGTTACATTGCTTCAGCCGCAACGCCTGATTCGACAACTGATGTAGTTTGTTGTCTAGTGCCAGCGAGTTCCACGAGTCAGGTCAGGTCAAATAATCGTATATACTTGGCTCGATACGAGTCAAGTCAGATATATTAGATTTAAGGGCTTATCTAGCCGTATCGTCGACTTGGCCTATATACCCTTATAAAGCCACACTTAGCCACATCAGCCACCTAATATATTTCACCCAAAACCTTTACCAATAACCAATAATATTGCCCTAAAAATATTCGTATAAAATATCAAATAAAAAAATTTTAGCGCTTAACTCGGATAAATATCCCTAAAAAAGGATCTACTTAAGCTAAGTCAAGCCAGGCCTAAGTTAGGTTAAGCTATTATCTAACTCGTGGAACTCGCTGTAGACTAATGCCGGGGTTAGTCACTAATACACTTCCTACGTCTTCCAAGTGTATAAAATCTTGGTAACCGTTCATAAGCTGGTTAATATAATTCCCCACTTACGGATCTGAGCTAGGTAACACAGCGATCCTCGGGTTGAACCAGATCTGACAGGGGCTTGGGCAAAATTTAAGGCTTGAGCGTGCAGTGACAATCACGCCAGCCAAACGGATGGCTGGGCTCGCTTGCTATGTATGTATGTATGTATGTATGTATGTATGTATGTAAGACAGGCTGACAGCCTACAGGGCTAGTTGAATCTAGAGCAGTCCGCGCACCGTTCTTCGTCACTCTCAAGATGACTGGTCAAATCCCGATACTCGGCAAATTGCATAGTAAAATCTCTTCCCATCACGCCTACAGTTAGCGAGTACGGAATAGACGTACAGAATATAGATCGACCTTCATGATATAATATAATAGTTACTTATTTTCGTATAGAAGTCTTTTGCGTTTGTCACTAGCGCGTTGAGCTTCCAAGGCTTCTTGGATGTGGGCCAATCCCCACGTAATCTTCTCATCTTGCGTTCCGTTCTCGATACGTGTAAGCGCACGTCGTGTTGGCGTATTGTATTGTTGACCCATTCGAGGTGGAGGTCAGCCGACCAGGCACCAGGTAGGAAGCCTCATGCATGCGCGCTATGGGACGGGACGTCGAGAATGTTCCGGGGAGAAATCCAGACGATACGCGGCAATGCAGGCCGATGCCATTTTTAATCTTGGAACCTTGACCGCGGAACCCGGCTATCGGGGAGCCTTAAAGAAAAGATTGGTCTACCGAATCACATCTAAGTACCTAAACGACAAATTAATTTACGGAAATCGATCTCAAGACCTTATTACCGTACCGTGCCTCCTGTCTCCAAGTCACACAAACAGGATTTCCATCTCGTTTCTTCATCTCTTGAGTGGTACCGAAACCGATCGCATACCCTACTAAGCTCACCGGTCCAGCGGCAAAGCTCAAAATTTCGTATGTCATTACTGAGGTTTGGCGGAGCTTATTAGCGTCCGGTGAATCCGCCACCTGCAGAAAGTTGCATTAGTTGCTCAGCTGGTAAGTTCGGCAGTTAGCTTTGTCGAAATAAAAATAGGAGAAACTAGGAGATCGTATGATGTGTTGTTCACTTGAACTGTTAATCACCTCTGAAAAAAGCTAGATCTATCTGAATAATTAACAAGAATAACAGTATCAAATATACTGCCTAGATTCTGTATAAGTACTATTTACCTAGGTAGTCATTGTTGAAAGTATGTTCAGTCCAGGCCAGAAAGCAAACCTCTGGTGTCGAGCTCACTATCTCGTGGTCATCCGTGCCCTGCGTAATCCCGTAATCCCCCAACTAATGCGTGGTAACCTCCCGAATACTCCGAAAATGAAACCTTGCAAGCCAAGTCTGTGACAAAAATATTCTAATTCTCTTTCCCCATACCATGAAGATTATGAGTACGAGGTTGTTAGCTAACAGCACACCGGCAAAGATCCCGGACATGACAACACCATACCCAGATTCCAATACCCAAGTCAGTACTTTTAGGCCAAACCCAAAGGAGATAATTTGCTTCCCGATGTTCATCGCGATGAGCATCTCAGACGTGTTAGCGTAATAGGAGTCAACTGCATATGCAAGCGTAAAGGAGAAGTAAAAGTAAGCGGCCCAGTAATTCATGGCCCCTCCAATAAAGAAGCATATCCAATGTAGGCCTCGCTCTGCCGTTAATCCATACAGGACAATTCCTGCAGGCCCTACGATCATCGGAACTACCATGACTCCCAAGCGCATTTCGGCCTCCCGGATTCCATTATTACGCTTTGTAAAGAAAGCCGCAAGCCTGTCTGATGACGAGGTAAAAGGAACAGCAAGTCCGTAACCCACCACAGCGGCAATGGCAAAGAGTCCCGAGTTGGTCTGTATTGTATGTTAATCAAGATGTGAGTAGTGCCTATACGAAAGCGACTTACCACTGTCCAGTTGTAAGGCGGCGATGTAATTAAGATCGGGAAAGTGTAAGAAAGGGACAGTGCCGATAAGCCAATCTACTGCATGTTAATACCTCAATGTTACCACGTATTTCCAAGACTATTCCTTTAGGGGGATAGATATAGTAACTATATGACGTACTACAAGTATGTTAGCAACTAGGACAAGCGAAAGGATATCGCGCTTAATTAAATTGGCATTTATGCTCACCATTGATTCCAAACGTGGTAATGACCCAGAGTGATTGGGGAACAACTTGAAATCTGTCAGTAGTTGCTTCTTTTAACAATGAGGTCAAGGGCTTCGAGATAGAAGGCGGTCACTCCAAAAACGACTAGTAAAAGGAAAAGGGGGTCGCATACGGAAGTAAGTGAATGAACGAATCATTGTCGTAAAGAATGGGACGTTAGAATCAACTCTTCCCCGCAGACTTAATGTTTCCAGGAAGCTTTTACGCGATGGAACAATAAGGTCAGCCTGTTGAGTTCCCTTTTCGACTTCATGGACACCCTCCTTTTCTAGCTCGTTCGGTGGTGTGGAAGGCGCAGCGTGGGCTTGGCGGTTATAGGACGTCTCTTCGACGAAGAAAAATGCTAGTATGAGCAGTGCTATGGCGAACGCAAACTCCACATAGAAGAAAAGCCTCCACTGAATCACTAAAAGTTAGCAACTGATTCTTTGGGTGAGGAGTCTAGAGGTATGTAAATATTCCAGGGGCATTGGCTCCTTTGGCAAACCGGTGTAGAAATGCTGACACCCAAGCTAGGAGAAGAAAGGGAGAAGGAAACTCTTAATGTTACATACGCTGTGACCGCCGGAGAGCATATATCCAGCGGGTAATGAGGCAAAAGTACCGAGACATAGACAGACTGGTAGACGTTAGAGATATACTGGATAAAGATCGACGTCATGTTCGCTACCTGTATAGTACCCAATGCGCTTGCCCCTTTCGTGTAAGAAGAATATATCATTGACTAACTGTACCGGTAATGCTTCGCATACTATTTTGACATTAAGACAACATATTAGTTTCGAACTCATGACTTTCTGGATTTTTAAGCGTAACTCTTAGGTGAACCCTGGTGAATATCGCCTAAAGAACAAGATATGATCATCTCGCTTACTATTGGATATTAGCTACTATATATGATGAGTTTTTGTCGAAAACCTACCCGCAAGAACCAAAGCAGTGGACTACACGGGCTGCCATTAGGCCACTGAATGAGGTACATTGTGACGCCCCTATTAGACCAGCTGCGAATGTAATAAGAGAGAACAGCATGACTGGTCGCCGGCCATACTTCAAGTACATGGGCACGAAAATTAAAGAGCCTTCATTGTATTAGCACTGCTTCTTCTCTTGCTGTATGGCGCCACATACCAAATCCAAAGGCGAGGTTAGGGTAAGATATCAGCTCAGATGCCACGGCGGGCGAGATATCAAACTCTTCAGCCCAGAGGTCGAGGTACGGTGATGGCCCAATGACGGACGCATTGGCGAGAAAAGAGTAAAATGAGCAAATTATGAGGATCATTGTCTTCTTGAAGTTGGACCACTATTGCCACGTTAGAACCCGCTCCTATTCACATATTCACGAAATATACCTGCAAAGGGTCATTTGGGTCCTCGGCAGGAACTTTGATAGTGTTAGTCAAAAAGAACCCAATCAATGGATATTCCAAAGGACTCGGAGGGCATAATAACCTGGGAAGAGGGCCATGCCATAGACCGTATCGTCGCCCTCTACGAAATGTCGCAAGCCATCAAGTTAGCCTTGGAACGTCGACGAATACTCTAGAGTGGCATACCAGCAGCTTGGAGATTTACAGTCCCTGGGACGCCTTCCTCGTGCGCATGGCTATGAACGAGGTGGCCCCTACCATGGGCGGCGACCTTCGAAGTCATCGTATACCTATTAGACGTTACCAGGAACCTGGAAAGCCAAGGGAAGAGAAGACGTTAAAACGCGGGGGCTGATGCGGCTGATGTGGCTGATGCAGATGAGTAGTATAGGTATGTACGTATGTGTGCTACGCGGTTTTCTCATTAGAGATTGAGGCCTTCGCGATCAGATCTCGCATCTGCCAGCGTCGTGATTCCTAGCCAAGACCGCGGAGGATTCTCGACCATCTATCTAAAACGCGGGGAAGGAAGCTATCAACATCCAGGGTCGTATCGCTACCCGTAATAGGAATCAGCCTGATAGGAATGACGATAGCATCTTAGCGCTACGGAGAGGTCATACTAATAGAGCCGAAATCCTCTAACCGAGGGTCTCTACTACACTACCTTTTTTTCCTCATCGATCGGCAACGATGCTAGGGGTTGGTTGATACATATACTACTACGTAGTCCCCGAAGCTCGTCGAAAACACGTGTTTTCGTACTTCAGCTTCGCGTAAATTTTCTGTTTGCGTTGTCCGCTAGAGGCACTTTGCTTGATAGAAACAACTACCGCGATTCATCTATGTTAGCCTAAATACTCGGGACAGAACCTGAATACTGGCCTTGTTGATATACCCGGTACACTTTCTGCATGGGGATACTAGCTTAAGTAAAACTAAAGTATAGTTAACTAGTATAGTTGACAGTTATTAGATATTGGAAGATTGTAGCGTGAGAGAATTGTCGTTAAAAAAGACTTCCAAAGCGACTGAGCGACTGTCATGGTCATCTACTAAGGTACCGAATATTCGGTTACTTATCCACATGGTGTTTGACAGCGTCCTTGATTCGGTGCTTTGGACATGTGTGCATGAAGCAGATCTGAATATTTAAGTGTTTGCAGCGCTAACTATAAGCCGAAGAAGACAGGTTTCGCGTTAAAGCATCCTAAAGGAACCTGGAATTTGCAGCTAGGCTTAGAAAATGCTTAGCTTGTATAGCGTTTACCTACGATAGGCCGGGCCGGCAATTAATATGAGGATTGGAATAGGGTATAGTCGTCTTGGTATATCTGCTTCTTACAATACTATCTTCTACGTATATGTATGTAAGTGCTGTCTAGACTCTACCTGTTAAGGTAAAGTCCGTAATAAAGGCACAGAAAGTATTCAATAAGCAGAAGCTCTTATAATTGATTTATCATTAAGCAGTAATTTATTATCATTATTTTTATGTACCTAGGTAGTTATGATCGTGCTTGGATAAAGCTTTGGAACATACACTCGAGCAGTGGCAGTGGCATGGCGCGCGGCCGCTGACCCCGAGCGCTTAGCGTACCTCGGCCGGGAGAGCCGGTGTGGAAAATATGACCAGGTTACTAGGCCGACTTTAATAGCACGTACGAATGACCCCTAATGAGGTAGCGTAAAATCATGAAGTCTTCCCTTTGCGAAACGAGCATATTGATGTCTTATTTTCTGCAATAGTTTTGCATGACTACATCTATTACCGGGGCATTATTTTTCGAGCACAAATAACTGAATGAGGTTATCTTTCAACACGGGAATCTTCCGGAAGAGTCGGAAGACCTTTTCGGGATTTTCTAATTATTAATACTAATACGTTTATTACCCTCGAGGGTAAGTAGAACGGAAATGCTTATTTCCATTCGAGTTAATTCCCCGATGGCTTGATGATTGCCTCGTCTCAAGGGATATGGCGTTTTAGTCTCGCTCAAGTCATCTGGTATGTTATCGTAAGATATCGGTATGTTAGTGTAAGATATCGGTATGTTAGTGTACATAATTCCAGTCGCGTTTAGGTGTGTTTTCAAGAGACCTAAGTATTCTAGGCCTTAAAGACGAAATGTGCTTGTCCCTGGTCTACTATTATAATAATTATTTCTTCTTTCTATTTTCTGATTCCAGCGGATCAGATCCGGTCGTCGGCCTTCACGGATGAAGTACCGGCCGAATAGAACCTATCGATGCATGTGTTGGCAATGAAGTTCGCCAAGACATTAAATCTCGCTGCCGAGTCCCACAGAGCCAAAGATCTAATGGTCGTGGTGTCCGCTCGTTGGTAGAGCTTCGACTTTATTGCAGCTTCACCATGCCTAAAATGGACGTTGTATTATCGTTGTGTCCCGAATTCGAGTTCACAGCGCCCGGCGGTGAGAGATCCAGGGGTTGGGGATTTGACCCAACCCCTCCAAATTGGATCCGAATTGGACGTGCCATCCAATGAAAGTGTTTGAATCTGCTTCCCAACCTCGATTAAGTCTTGACCGTAACTCTAAAGACAATGAGGGGTGGCAAAATGCACCCGCATGTGCGAACTAGGTCTGATCTAAGGTAAGGAATATGTATGTGTAGGAAGAGAAGTGTATGTGTATAAAAACCTGAAGGCCCTCTCCGGGAAACGAGACGTTCTCTTTGGATGATGTAGGGGCTTTTTTGCCTTATCAAACATCACCAAAACCAACCAACCAACCAACCAACTTCCGTCCTTTTCGACAGCCGTCAAGATGTTCTCCATCATTGTCGCTGTCATGGCCGCCGTGGCTATTGTCTCCGCTACTGCGGAGGCGACGGTGAGTCTCGAACGTTCTTCTGCCTTATAAAGATCTACATACTGACTGGAGCTGCTAGACGCCGCGGGACCTAGTCGCATCTGCGTGACTGCGGGTAGGGGTTACGGATGTATTCCTAACCCCTACCCAGGACAACACCCTGATCCAATCTATATCCATAATCCAGGAAGAAAGTTTGGGTATTGGATGAGAAAGGACTCAGCTGGGACTGAGGAGTAGGCGCGTGGAGTGGTTATATTATGAGCACAATACGCGTTATGAGAAACGAACATTTGGCCCAGGAGATGGACCAATGTTAAGGATACCATATTATGAAGACTTATACCCCGAGTGGTTACTGGTACAAGCCACTTATTCTTCGACCATCATGCATCAACTAGCAAGTTGTTGCAGGTGTGTTAGCAGCCTCATCAGGCTAATACAATCCCCTTTGTCCCTTTACGTACCGACGCCGATTGCATATGCATGAGTGAAACCATCGTCGAATATCGTTATGCCCCAATACCCATAGTAGACCAATGCGCAAGGGCATCTGATCTTCGTAATGTATATGCACAATTATAGGATGTCATCGTTAAACCCTCGCATTATCCGGTATAGCGCCGTCGCCCCAGATATTACGCGTTTCTTCCTCGACAGCTCTCATGGCGATAGCCACTTCTTCTAATTTCTCGACAACATCCCTAACTCCCTGGTCTATCTTTGAGAAGTAGCGATCGTTCGCCTCTCTCCTATTCCTTGCCAGAAGGATATCCTTCTCCGTTTCTTCTTCGAGCTTAGCGCCTAGCCGTTCGCGACCAGTCCCACTACTTCCAGGTCGTGCGCTGCCTGTACCGACTGTGCTTTTCCCTCCTTCTGTACCTTCTACCGCCGCCTTTCCGACGCTTGAGGATATCGTAGGACCAAGGGCTACTCCAGTAGCAGATACACCAATCTCACCTAAAGCTCCTTTGAGGTTTAGCACTTCGTTCGCAGCCGTCGGTTCGATTGAGTCGTCGGCCTCGCTTCTTGCCCATGCTTGCGCCAGCTTAATTTGGGCCGCACGTAAATCGGCGAGCTTGCGGTCATGCTCCGGTCCGAAAACGTGGGTACCTCCACTCGCCGATAGCTCGACCTCTTCTAGAGTCGCTTGCATCTCAGCCCACAAAGCGTCGGTTCTATCAACAGTGCGGGTGGAGTCAGCAGTATGGAGTCGTCCGACAGGCGCGCGGTTTCGTGTATTTAATAACGAACCTGTTCGCGCGAGCGAGGGAGTAGCTTGTGACTGCTGGATAGATGCGCCGCTGACATTCTCCCTCGTGTTCGAAACTAAGGCAACGGCTGGCGGAACTGCTGGGCTAGCAGCCACCACTCCTGAGAGCGAGACATGTGAGGTTGCTGGAGAGGGATGGAGGAATAACCTAGGAGGGTCGCGAGCTTTAGAATTGCCCCGTGTTAGTTTGAGGTTATCCATTGCTACATTTTGCCAGTATGAGAATACGATCAATATCAACACAACTCCTTTCAAATAGCCCTACTAAGAAGGGCAGTCTAGAAGCCAGACTGGCCTGGAGAACAAGATATTGTAATTGGCGAATATGACTGGTTAATTTGAAGTTGCCTATGAAGATGCAAAGGAAGGACGCACGCGCGTCATGGTCCATGCACGGGGCCGTCTCCGTTCCAAAAGGTTATTAATGTGGCTTAGATGAATTATCTGCTAAGCCACTTTGATGGAGGTACGTACCTAACCAGAGTACTATCTTTCCATAAAGTGGGGACATATTATGTGGCCCACCTGGGGGACTAGGGCGAAGAAACCCTTAGCAATTATTTTCCACCTCTGGTCTTGTGGAAAAAATTAACCGAAGAAACATCACATCCACGAACCACTAGCCAATCTATCCATCCATCCATCTAAGCAAGACTTCAACACCCATTTTTCAGCGATACCACATACAAATCGGTAAGTCAATTCCTCATTCACGATCGATCTGCAATATTCTATGGCTTTGGTCAATACATTGCTGCCAATCCTTCATCTCGCTTCGTTCGACCACGATAAATAATTTTCTGCGCCCTCGAGTCTACATTTGCTGACCGTGCAACCCCTCTACTACAGCAATCATGGGTAAAGGAAAGCCTCGTGGACTTAACGCAGCCCGCAAGCTGCGACTGCACCGAAAGGAGCAGAAGTGGGCCGATCTCGGATACAAGAAGCGCGCTCTCGGTACCGCTTTCAAGTCCTCGCCGTTCGGTGGTTCCTCTCACGCCAAGGGTATCGTCCTCGAGAAGGTCGGTGTCGAAGCCAAGCAGCCCAACTCTGCTATCCGAAAGTGTGTCCGTGTCCAACTCATCAAGAACGGAAAGAAGGTTACTGCTTTCGGTACGAATATCCCTACTTTTACTCTCTACGTTTCTCTTTCGCGACTACAAAATTCCGGTTGGCCCGAGGCGGTTGGCTTTACGAGAAGGAATATCTAGGAGCGAAGATTTTTTTATTTTTGGGTGCAAATTAGCTAACGCGATTCAATACTAGTCCCCAATGACGGTTGCTTGAACTTCGTGGACGAGAACGACGAAGTCCTGCTTGCTGGTTTCGGTCGCAAGGGCAAGGCCAAGGGTGATATTCCCGGTGTGCGATTCAAGGTCGTCAAGGTTTCCGGTGTCGGTCTGCTAGCTCTATGGAAGGAGAAGAAGGAGAAGCCGAGATCATAGACGTTTGGTCGGGGACGAAGGAAATTAAGGAAAATGTGCAACGCGAGAAGGTTCATTGGGCATGCGGAGTCGATACGGCTTGCTTTGTTTCATCACGGCATCATAGGTTCGGGCCTTGATACTCATTCACAGGCAGACGAGATCCACAAATAGAGATTCTGCGTCGCCAAAGCAATACCTATAATTCTTCTAGAGTCTATCGTGATTATCGTGACTACCTAATCTAATGCGGAGATAATTGGTCTGGGAGTAGAGTATATCCTTTTTGATTACCTACCTTAGGTAACCTCTATTCCAAATCCGACACCTAATTTCGTTATATACACATATCTGTACATTATGGTTGAAGCCTAATTCTCTAATGACTGTGTCTTGTCGTCTTCGGCGTATTTTAACAGGTAGTCAACTCCAAGACCGAGACTGATCGCGCCTCCAGTGATCCAGCATCCATTGACAAACCACCACCAGCAGTCCTCCACGTTCTTGAGATTTACTCTCTTTATCATCCAGCCCAATGTAAGAGCAGCGCCACCGCAGCTCCCAATGAAGAAAGCTGGTCCGGCTCCTACTGCCATGCCGGCGGCTCCAAGAAGGCCTATCTGCACCACCGCTAACCCGGACAGGATTTTCTTCGTATCAGCGTCATGCTTGAGGGCAATGCTCTTGATGCCTGCCTTGGCATCATCCTTGATGTCCATGTGCGCGTAGATCATATCGTATAGTACAGTCCAGGATATATTGCTTGCGTAAAGCAGAGCAGCGGCACTCAAGGCGGCACTGTTTGACAATAAGTCTACCCCCAGAGCAGGAAAACCCATAATGGCACCCCAGGAAAAGGTCAGGCCCAAGACGAACTGTGGATAATACGTCACGCGCTTGGCGAGAGGGTACGAAGCTACAAATATCAAGCTAGGAATACCATAGAAGAGACATGAGGTCGGAAATTGTAGTAAAATCCCGAGGCCGGTTAGGAGCTGCGCACCTGTATATGCTAGGGCTTTGAAAGGCGTGATGGCGCCGCGTGCTAGGGGCCGATGCCGCGTCCGCGTTACGTGCTTGTCTAAGCTCCGGTCCCAGAGGTCGTTGATGGAGCAGCCGGCACCACGCATAACAAGGGCACCGGTGAAGAAGAGTACAGTGGTACCGACGACGGATAATGGGGTAGCCACGGGGGTGGCCAGTGGAGCAGCCATCAGTGTTGAGAAAAGGCACGGGAAGAATAGATAATATGTTCCTGTGGGTTTATCGATTCGGATGAGCTCCCCGTAGGGAACCCATGACTTAGGCAGACGGGATAGAATGCCTGATGTGGGTGGCGAGTAGGGTTCTGGAATGACTGCTGAGGATGGTGAATCGATGGTATGGGCTCCTCGCTGGCTTATAAGTTGTGAGCGTACTGGAACTATCTGTCTTGGCTTTGGAAAACTGAGAGCTGTCGAGGCTGATGTTATGCTTTGTAGGTAACATGAGACACCCCTGGAGACATTATGGAGTTGTCTCGATAATTTTAAGTCCGGAGATATTAGACCACGAGGCAGCAGACACTTTGTGCCTTTGGGCATAAGGAGTCGATGCATCTTGCTCAGGGGTGTATCGACTTCTGGAGACTTGTTAGCTGTGTTTCTGGTGAGGCTGAAGGTTTAATTGAGCAGTGACTGATCGGATGAGACGGTGTTAGACTTGAGAAGCCCTACACAAAAATGACAAATTTATAACACAATGCCAACATGATGACAATATAAATTACCGATGTTCGTTATAGACTATGTTGTTACAAAAATATAATAACCAGTGAGTGTTTAATAAGCCCATCAAATTTTTTATATTCATATTTGTTTCTCAAGAGGTGAACTATTGACTCACTGTCGAGTAAACAAAGGGAATGAAAACCTACCTTTGAGATGAAGAAATTAGTAGCTGTCACCTGGAGTTCATAGCCATTTCACACCCTAATTAAAGTCGTGTTAAGAAGTTGCTGGATTAGGTACATTTGAAGAAGTTATTTAATTTCTATAAGTCCTGGAGGTTGTATGGGTCTGTGCACGAACTGGAAGTACTGAGCCTACCGCAATTCATCCTAACGGTAAGTACACGGAGGTACCTGTGCGGTTACAGTGGGTACCTACCTCATAAACTTATCTGCTATCCAGTTTGCGCTTTCCATTATCGTCTCTAAATTTATTGTCGTAGCTTCCTCGCCTCCAGCCTCTCGCTGTAACTGCGTCGCACTTTACCAAGAGCATTAAATTGCTCCAACGCCTTTGTTTCGCTCTTGGAAACTGGAAAACTTTCTCCTATAGTGACCCTAACTACTCTGCCATAGGCTTATGAAATTAAAAGGCATATGGGGTACTATTTAGATTGCGTTGGTTCTCCTTTGCGAATACCGTCGCGATTGTAAAGCCCCTTGAGGCGCGTCTGAAGGTGATCACCATCTTCGCAAACCCCGCCGTCGCCTCACAACCCCTTTCCGCATCTCCGAAACTCGACTCTTCAAATTACTAGTCCTTAGTATATACCTCGAGCGATCGTTAAAATGCCGACCGCGTTACATCCCCAAGCTAAATTCGACCCAATCCCTCCGGATCTCGACCTCCATGCTCTTGTCGATCGCACCCCGAACTTCGACTGGGTTGTACGGATTTCCACCGCACAGATCAGGCGCCTTGGCCCCTCCGGTTTCGAGAAGCTAGTACAACTCCATGTCATCGAGGGAGGTCGTCCGTTAGTTATAGAAGGCTGGAACAAGGTCTTCCCAGAAGACTTATTTAGTGCCGCCTGGCTGGAGAAGACGTACGATAAGAAACGTGAGTTTTTCGCTTTCGTCATATATAGCGCTTAGAAATACTGATAGGAGGTGGTAGAGGAAAATATTCGTGACATAACAGCGCAGACCGATATCCCAATGACCACTGGCCATTACTTACGATCGATGCGACAGTTGACCAGTCAATGGACCCCTACAAATTTTCGCGACGACCGGCGCCAGCGTCTTTATCTGAAGGATATAGACTGTCCTCCGGAGTGGTATAACCACCTGAAGAAGGTTATCCCTCCAAATGTCTTCTATATGAACGAAAATATCAGCGAGAATCCAGGAGCAGACACACGAAATGACGACATTTTTGGCGCGCCGGAAAAGACTCCTGCCACAGCAGGAGATCTCATGAGCAGCTTACCTGAGGAGATGCGTGCGCAAAACTTAATGTGCTATATCGGCCATGAAGGAACGTATACGCCTGCGCATCGAGAGATGTGTGCGAGTTTGGGCCAGAATATCATGGTTGAAGCCTCGGAAGACAAGAATGGAGAGAAGCCGGGTAGCTCGATTTGGTTCATGACTGAGACCAAGGATCGCGAGGTTGTTCGAGAGTACTTCCTTTCCATGCTTGGCCACGATATTGAAATTGAGAAGCATTTCGCGCAGATCAACGCTTGGAAGAAGGCCAACTTCCCCGTCTACATCGTTGAGCAAAAGGTTGGCGACTTCATCCTTATACCTCCCTTGGCTCCCCACCAAGTCTGGAACCGCGGGACGCGGACCATAAAAGTTGCATGGAATAGGACAACGGTCGAAACCCTTGACTTAGCTCTCCACGAGGCTTTACCAAAGGCGCGACTAGTTTGCCGAGATGAGCAATATAAAAACAAGGCCATCGTTTATTATACTATGGAGAAGTACTACAAAGACCTTCAAGCCCACGAAGAGAACTCTGAAGTTGGGTTATTGGGTCTTGGTCAAGAACTAATGCAAAATTCCTCACGTATGAAGCAGATGGCTAATGACTTCAAACGCTTGTTCGGCCTGTTCACCGAGATCCTCGTCGACGAGATGTTTGGTTACAAGCAAACCGACGTTGAATATATCCCCTTCGATTCAAATATCACATGTTCATACTGCCGGTCCAACGTTTTCAACCGCTTTTTAACTTGCAAGTGTTGCGTGCGAACGCTGATCAACGGTGACGAAGATACATACGATATTTGTATGGAATGCTATGCTATGGGGCGCTCATGTGTTTGTATATCGGGCCTCCAGTGGTGCGAACAATGGAAGTGGCCCGATCTCATCGAAAAACATGAGACTTGGCGATCAATGGTTATTCAACAAGATGGATTTGTCGACGTCGATTTATCTCCTCAGCCCATCGAAATTGTGCGGAAAAAGACGGGAAAGAAGTCGGTAGCCCAGATCTGCCAAGAACAGCTTCGAAGACGACCTTGGAATGATATCACAAAGCCATCTCAACCTCAAGCAGAGGAATCTGATGAACCCGAGGTCGACGAGGAAGGTCGCGTCAAGAAGAAGACAAAGCCGAAACGCAAGGCCAAGAAGGGCGACGTCTACCGCTGTCACGTCTGCTGCCACAAAGACTACACATACAAGCTAAACTTCTGCACGACATGTCAAAACGCATATTGTTACGGTGTGTTGTGGCGGGCATTTGATACAATGCCCCAGATGGCAATGGAGAGGGAACATTGGCAGTGTCCCAAGTGTCTTAATATCTGCAACTGCGGGTCTTGTAGACAGAGTGGCAATACACATCCATATGTCCCCAAGAATACCCTTCTTGGGCATGATACGCGTCCAATTGCGGACGATCGCAGTGTTGAATCAATTGTCGACTTCAGGCAACACAACCTTGGCTGGCTAAAGGCCACTGGTGACGAAAATCGTGGGAGGGATACGAAGCGGATGCAACGTCTAAAGCAGCAGGCGGATGCTGAAAAGGCTAGAGATCCATTGGCGTCTTTGAGTTCCGCAGAAGACGCACCACACGAAATGGATTCGGCCCTTCAGGACTCAATTATGAACGGCTATGGAGATCAAAGCCATCTCCTCGACCATGCTGAGACAACCATTGCTAGTTATGAAAATGGCCAAGCACCCGCTGCTGACATGTCGCATGGCGAACCTATGGACGAGGTTGACCACGCCGACATGTCTGCTATACAACACGGAGAAGAAGACTCGGTTCTTCCGGATCAATCGCAGTACCCCGATCCGTCTATGATTGGTCACGCACGAATGATGGGAATGGGATTCTATGACCAAGATGAAAGTGCAGATAAAATCTTGTTCGATCCTTTCCAGATACCATCTGCTGACGCTCTAAACAATGAGCCGGAAGTGTCCGAATACGTCAAAAAGACGCTGCGACTTGCGAAGAG